GGAAGTCAAGTGTTCTGTTTATCTGAAGAACAGAAAGAGGTAGTGCTATTTTCTCTCACGTGCCTTACTGCCTGCTATTTTCTCTCACATCTTGACTACCTCTCCAGAGATTGCCAGCTGCAGTCTCAGTGGGCATCATTTCTAGTGGTGCTTTTGGGGCTATGTACGTTGGACTGCTTACAAATTAAATGAGACCATTTCACAGCTGTCCACCAAACCCCCTTGAGATGGCAGTAATGCAGTCACTGCTGACATTGGCTGGATATGAAACATGATGACCCAGATGTGAAGAGCTCTGTGTGATAGAAGGTCCTATTTTTTGCCTTTAACATTTTTAATTGGTCATTGTGTATAGCATTTTAATCCAAACACAGATGCTTATAAATGCTCAGTATTGTTTTATAACATCTGAAACTATATTAGGCACTTCACAGGCATATAAAGAAAGATATTCAGATTGTAAGCTCTTTGGTGCAGGTATCATCCCTTAGTTCTGTGTTTGTACAGTTCCTACCACAGTGGGGCTTAGTCAATGACTGTATGGCTCTTCGGCATTATTGCAATATCTAGGGGCATGGGTGAATTCTCTGTCACTTGCTGTCTTTAAGTCAAGACTGGATATCTTTCTAAACTATATATTATTGCTGAAACAGAAGTTGTGGACTTGGTGCAGAAATTATAGGGTGAGGTTCTTTGGCCTGTGCTATGCAAAGAGGTCAAATTAGATGGCCACTTCTGGCCTTAAGAGTTGTGAATCTGTGAAAACAGATAATAAGTCTCTGCCCCAGAGAGCTTAAAATATTACTGGAGACAAGAGAAATGAAGCCCTGCACCAAGAGAGCAGGGATGGGAAGAGGCAGAGAAGGATCATGAGTTCGCTTTGGTGGCTAGGCCCACATCTTGGTGGCATTTTCTTAAAATAGATGTTTTATTTTATTGCAATAGGATTATGATTAAGGCTGACTTTTTGCTTGGGGTTTTTTTGCTTGGTGGAGGTAGAAGGGGGTAGTGGAGGAGGAGCTAAGGAGAAAGAAGAATGGAGGAGGATGACAGAAAAGGTAGGAGAGAAAGGGGAAGAGAAGACAAGAAACTGGCAAGGGAATGTGTGATCTAGTAGCAAACATGGGAGACAGAGGGATGAGAGGAGCACAGACAGTTAGACAGCAGGTGTAAATAAAAACAGTCCTAAAGGTATGTTTGGTGTTCTGATTACATCTCCTTGTGGCTGGTGTGTAGTATGTACATTACATGGCCCCCTGCTCCAAATTCTGCTGCTGGAAGAGTGAGCAATGCTCTGGGAGCTGGAGCTTTAAGCTCTTCTCACTGCTGCTGGGGCAGCCTCGTGTCCTCAATGACTCCTGGGGAATCCAGGGAGGGGTGTGGTGATGGAAGCTGCAGTCCAGTCTCCTGCTCCCTGGTGCCAGCATACAGCCCTTGGCTTCATGGAAATTTAAGATGAAAACCCCTAATTTCCACCAGTGTGTAAACCTTTAGAAAATAGCAGCTCCCCAGGGTCCTTGGCAGAAGTGAGTAGGGCTTTTTGCCACAGGGCGTAACTCATCACATATGTTTTAATGAATTAGACCTACAGAAAGAAAGGAGTGAATTCTTCCCCACTTGTTAATTTCACTCTCCCTACCTCCATTTTCTGTCTCAGTTTCTCCGCAGCCATTTGTCTTGTTTTACTGCATAGCACCAATGGCCTCTTTTTTTTTAATCACAATTCTTGCTTTCGCCTCTCGGAGCAACATGAGCAACTGGTTCTCACAGCTCTCTCCGACTTGTTTCTTCAGATCACTGGACACATGAATTTCTTTCAGAATTCCATTGCCTTAAGTGTTTCTCCCCCAGCATATTGATCATTATGAGGTTTGGTCTGGTCTGGCCTGGCCTAGGGAGGAACGTTGGCCCACTGGTTTGGGCACTAGGCTGGGTCTTGGAAGACATGGGTTTCATTCCTTGCCCTGCCATGGCCTTCCTGTGTGACTTGGACTAGTTAGTTAGTGTCTCTGTTCTTAAGTTCTCTACTCATGGGGATATTGCGAGGATAAATACATTACAGACAGCGTAGAAGGTGTGTAGGGCAATGAAGGCCATATAAGAACCGTAGATAGAATAGGTGTCCGCCACTGCTATTATCACAAATCCTGTCCTCAGATGCATGTATGGAAGTCCTGTTGATATGTATCAAAAGCAGATTGGGCCACTGTTCTTGCCTTCTTTTCTTCACATGCCCCTACCTTAATTGCTGAGTTATTGCCCTTTGAAACAAAAACCTATAGCCATGCTACTTTAGCATTCAGAAAACTCTTTAGAGTCCCAGCCCTTCTGCTTTAGAAGCCACCATCCTGCAACAGATGCAGACGAAGTATTGCAGTCATGCTCACCTAGGGCATGATCGTGTGATGTTCTTAGCATCAAGTTGCAGGAGGCTCTAGTCAGATTGGGCCCCCAGTGCAGAGAGGAGTCTAAAAGGAGAAGTATGGTACTTTGCAGGCTTCTGAGAGGCGTGAGTGGTGCAAACTGAGGAAAGGACTATGGCCCCTGTCCTGCAAAAGGAACAACGTAGGTGGAACCTTGCACTACATGGAGTTCCACTGAAGTTCAGAATCCACCCATGCAGAGTCAATGTCAGGATCAGAGCCTGCAATGACTGTTAATGTTATTATTGACTTGAGCCAGAGCCTGCTCCCATTAAAGTCAATGGCTGCTTTGTCACTGACGTCAATAGGAGAAGGAGCAAGTCCATTGTTCATATATTCCACTCTCATAAAAATTGAGGCATGTTCTCAGTGCACAGGATGGGGCACCAGGAACCTCTGAGTTCTAATCCTAGCTCTGAAACTGACTCGCACTAGGGCACCAGGGCAAGTCCCTTAACTTCTCTGGGTCTAGTTTCCCCCTGTGTAAAATGGGGATGAGAACACTGGCCTACCTCACAGGCATGCCTGAGTGTTCAGTAGTGTTTGTGTTTGAAGATGAAAAAGAATTGTCCAGCATATGTGCTTAACATATTGTTAATCCTATATTTGAACAGAAGTGTTATCATTTGTTGTTTTGTAGTGGCCAAAGTCTGGTAGGCTGTTCTTCCTCCATCTCTAAAGTGAGCATAATATTTGCCCTACATCATAGGGCTGTGTGAAGCTTAATTCATCCTAACCTACAAGGCTCTTCGTAACCTCACTTCCAGCCATCTCTCTGTTCTCATTTCCTCTAGACTTCTCCCAGTCATTACTCCTTACATCTCCCAAGTCTATTCTTGGCAGATGAGAGCAAGGAGACAGTATCGTAAATAGGGTGCAGTATGAGAGAAGGCTTGAAGCCAAGTCCCTTGTCCTCCTTAAATCCCTCCTTGTACACTCTCCTCCAAGCAACTCCTCGTCATTAATAACTTCCACGCCCTCCTCCTCCAGAAATTTTGTCCTGGGTTCCTTTGCCCTGTTTTATTTAGACTGTTCGGTCTCTGCAGCAGGAAATCTTTAGCTAGGCGCTCTGTAAATGTACTGCATTGTGTACAGCAAGGGGCCAGAGTGTGATATGCTTGACCACATTAAGTGGCCCCTTTCTTTTGGAGTAGCCCCATTGTCTTCAGTAGGATTACCTGCAGAGTAAAAGTACTACTCAACATGAATAGTTGTGGCAGAACCTGGCCCTTAAAATCCTCAGTACTCATGAGAAAACCCTGTGCTTTTAAACCCAACACGGCAGGTCAACTTTATAAATATCATGAGCAATGATTTTTGCATTACTGTGGGCATTTTGCTTTGAAAATTCAAAAGCTTCTTTACATGAAAAAGATTAAGGCCATGGGGTTTAAAATTCAGTGTTAAGCATTTCCAGATGAAAGCTACCAGCATAGACATAGTTCTCCAGACTTTCATGTAGTAAATGTGCCTTTTTAAGGTTCAGTGATTTAAAAAAAAAAAACCCAAAAGCCTTTGAATAAATGTTCAGCCTCCATCTTCCACGGGATATAGTAGTTAACAGTTTTAAATGCAAATGAGGCTCAGTTCTTTTGTGTGTGTGTGTGTCTAGCTCTAATTCCTAGCTCGTTTAGTTTCTCTCAGTTATTGTGGTCTCTTTGCTCCTTGAGACAGAAGGGCAAGTGGCTCCCTCTGACTCTGACAACCGCGATGCTTCATTAGTCAGGTTGTAGGAGGTACAGTGACAGCTGTCTAGCTCTCATCCCTCTCCTGGAAACTTAGCATATCAGCTCAGTGACACATGGTCCTCAATTTGAGTTGCTTCCTGAAATCTTCCATTTGATAGCACAATGCCACAGAGCTGCCAACTTATAAATGTACATTTGAGTAATTGTGCAACACTGTCTTGTTTTTCTTCACATTACCAAAAGTTCTTTTGACGGGAAGCTGATGATCCTGTGGCCTGATTGTCTTTTATATTTTTTTTTATGTGCTTGTTTTTGTTTTCAGTCCTCTAATCTCTATCGGAAGATGATGAGCTAACTCTGCATTCGGATTCAATTTTCTTTCAATAAATACTCTTTAAAACTTTCTGGTTTGGCCTTCTAATATGAGGCCTGAGTCTGGGAGTTAGGGAACAAGTCAAGGTAGTCTCAGCTCCCAAAATAAATAATGGGCATTACACAGAATTGGGCCTGGGATGTTGTGAAGGCCAAAACTATAATAGAGTTAAAAAAAGAACTAGATATGTTCATGGAGGATAGGTCCATCAATGGCTATTAGCAAAGATAGTCAGGGAGGCAACCTCATGCTCTGAATGTTTGCCAGAAGCAGGGAGTGGATGACAGGAAATGGATCACTTGATGATTACCTGTCCTATTCATTCCCTCTGGAGCACCTGGCATTGGCCACTGTCGGAAGACAGGATACTGGGCTAGATGGACCTTTGGTCTGACCCAGTACGGCCGTTCTTATGTTGGCCAAGGGATTCTATGAATGACCGTGGAGTCCTGCATGTTGGCAACACGCACAGTTTTGGTCTTGTTACATTTAGCTATATGACTTTTATTTTTCCAGCTCCTGAAGTGCTGGCCCAGAAACCCTACAGCAAGGCGGTGGATTGTTGGTCTATTGGGGTAATCGCATACATTTTGTAAGTATCTGTTAATTTTATAACTATAGGATCTGTAACACATACTCACCTGTGTATATTTTTCCTCTTATCAAGGGAAGCTCACCCCTATTATCTGAGTCCACAGTAGCTGGAAAGGATATGGGAGTCAAGATGGAAAGAGTCTGGGAACCCCTGGGCACAGGGACATGGTGATGCAGTGGTCATTCCTGCTGACTAGGGAGCTGTGCCTATAACAGTGCTGGGGATCAGTGGGCACCATATGAAACCTGCTGTGTGTGTATGAATGTGTGAGGTCAACCTCTAGTGGTTGGCCTACAGGGAAGAGAAGGGACCTGCTGCTTGTGTTATCTATGGGAGATTCCCTTCAGCTCAAGTGAGGAACGCCGAATTATAAATGTCAGCATTCTGGGCCCAGCTCCCTGTGGGCGTATGTGGGTTAGATCGTAATTGTGTATGTTGTCTGCAGCCTTAGATTCCTTTCATCAATTGGCATTTGTACCATGTGTGGTTCCTTGAAACATGTTTAGGCTGCTGCAATAGGCTGGCTCAGATAGGCCAAACAGGGCACAGCTAACATGACAAACTTGTTCTCTTTGTTTACTGAAGCAGGGAACAACCCTGTTGCTACTAAGTATAACAGAAGCCAGGTTAGACCTGTTGATGCTTATATTTCCAGTGGTGGTATTTTTCCATTTTATACAAATGTCACAGTCAAACAAGTCTGCAGCAAAAAGTGACTGAAGTGCCACAGCATCAAATTGTTCCTACTTGGTTCCTTTTCCCTTTGTGTAAACATTTGATGGCTTGTCAGCTTGCGTAACTTTTGCGTAATGCAGCACAGCTATTTTTGTGTGCACACCATATAATTGATACATTATCCATTGCTGCACAGTGCATATTGTTTGTCTGTCAACTGCATTTTCTTTTAGTCCCGGGTATAAATTTTATGACCTGTTTTCCCCAGTGCCACCCAAATGGTGGTTTACTTCTTCTTTTTTAAGTATATTGCACGGTTTTTCTTGAACAACAACAACAACACAATCCTAAATAATGTCAGTTTTCCGACACTTTCGCTGTTCTGCTTGAGTGTCTGCAGTGTTCTCCTCTGAAAACATTGCTGACTGGTGGATTTTCCTCAGAGCAAGTTTTAACAACAGAAGGAGGCAGCAGAATTTTGCAGAGAGAATTAAAGCTATTGGCACTGCTAAATCCCTAGAGCCAAATCCTGCCTTTTGCAGTCTCAGGAGCACTGAAGGAGCAGAGCTCTTCCAGGCAGGATGGACATATATTAAACAGGGCTGTCAAGCGATTAAAAAAATTAATTGCGGTTAATCGCACTGTTAAAAAAGAATAGAATACCATTTATTTAAATATTTTTGGATGTTTTCTACATTTTCTAATATATTAATTTCAATTACAACACAGAATATAAAGTGTACAGTACTCACTTTATATTTATTTTTATTACAAATATTTGCTCTGTAAAAAACAAAAGAAATAGTATTTTTCAATTCACCGCATACAAGCACTGTAGTGCAATCTCTTTATCATGGAAGTTGAACTTACAAATATAGAATTATGTACAAAAAAAACCCTGGATTCAAAATAAAACAATGTAAAATTTTAGAGCCTGCAAGTCCACTCAGTCCTACTTCTTGTTCAGCCAATTGCCAAGACAAACAAGTTTGTTTACATTTGCAGGACATAATGCTGCCTACTTCTTGTTTACAGTGTCACCTGAAAGTGAGAACAGGCATTCACATGGCACTATTGTAGCCGGCATTGCAAGATATTTACATGCCAGATGCGCTAAAGATTCATATGTCCCTTCATGCTTCAACCACCATTCCAGAGGACATACATCCATGCTGATGATTAGGGCCCTACCAATTTCATGGTCATAGGCTTTTAAAAAATAGTAAATTTCATGCTTTCAGCTATTTAAATCTGAAATCTCACAGTGTTGTAATTGTAGGGGTCCTGACACAAAAGGAGTTGTGCGGAGGTTGCAAGATTAATTTTTTTAATCACGGTTAATTTTTTGAGTTAATCGCGTGAGTTAACTGCGATTAATCGACAGCCCTAATATTAAATAATTCAGAGATCACTGGGGATGCCATTACTCATTAATATTCCTTTAAAAAAGAGTGGTGTTTACTGCCCTCAAGCCCTGCCACCTAACAGCTGCAAATATGGGGCTGCAGGGCCCAAGGCACATTGCTGAGTGAAGCACTCCTCCTCATGTGTTTTCCTGAAGCTTTGAGTCTTAGGTTAGTAATAGAGGGAAAGTCTAGCAAGGTTTTTCTGTCCATTTTTAAGTCAAGTCCTCAGTCCTGCCTATGCTAAGCATAGTACTTCAGCCTGGCTCAGAGGCTAGATGGTAGAGAACAGCAGGCCAGAGGCTTGGCCACTATTAGCATCTCTTTCCCAGTTACAGTTCATTGTAGAGTTTTTACCATAGAAATACTTATGTGTTGTTACGGCTACACACAAGCAGGCCTGGCTAGTGCTGTCTGGTTATGCAGAGATAAAATTAGTCCATGTTCTATCCATGTCCTCAGCTCCATTCAGCGATGGCACATGCAATCAAATGCTTTTTGCTGCTGATGTTTCACTAGTTGCTTTTACGCTCCCTAATACCCCTGTTTTATTATTAGTTGTGTCGGAAGGCAGGAGCTGTGCTCATGAAGATGATCAACAGTGAACCCCTCTGCAGCACTTGGTTAAGAAATAATCCTCCCAGTGATCTGTGTGTAACTATCAGATAGAAGGTTTCAGTCCTGCCCCTTGACACGTGGCTCAAGCAATGTTACCAATATACACTCTTTTCACACCAGTGAAACTATGTGTTTTGCTGGCATCAGTGCAACAGTATCTCCTATTTGTTTTCAAAATCAATGTGTGCTTGTGTTTTTCAAAAAAGATACACATACTGCTCTGAAGACTTAAAATTCCACTACCCTATCGGGAATTCCCTGCCCAGCAGGGTGAAATCCATTGAATAACAACGAGGTCCTATAAGAAGAGGTGGAATTTTAAGGCTTCTGGATTATATATCTAATAGGAATCTAATTTTTACTATATACATTAGAAAGTATAATAATAACAATGATTTGCCATACCAGCTATGACATAATGTATTTGCCACACCATTACTCAGACATCCCATCTCCAGTAATACCCAATACCTGATGCTTTGAAAGAAAGTGGAAGCCCCTGAGATGGACTTAGCCAATGGTAGATGTTCGGTGAAAAAGAGAATGGGATTCCCTCCCAGTCTTCATAGTAAATAGCCCTGCAGGCTTTTTGATACCACATTGATGGGAACAGTATTAATGCCTGGATGAAGAGAAAGTGACCAGTTTAGGATCTTCAGCTAAGATGATAATTGGCCTGAAATGAGTGACTACATCTGACTTTATACTTGCATTATTCGCTCACACTTCCAGAATAACTCTCTCAACCAGGCAGAGAATGCTACTATATCTAGACTGGCTAAAAAGTTCCAGTGGGTGAAGGTGAAGCCAATACCTGCTTAACAAGCCAGGCTGTTAGTTCCAATCATTGTGTGTGTTGAGGGGGGTGAGATTCAAAGTAATTTCTGGGCAGAACAGAAAACATTTACCAGAGCTTACTTCCTCTTAGCATGTCACCGTCGTTGGATTTAAAAAGATGGCAGTTTAGGGGAACCCAATTTAGAAGCAGGGCATAAATGAAAAATGTTATAAAATATTGTTACTGTTAGTGATTTAACTACATCCAAACAGAAACACACACTCTCCCAGGATAGTCTTAAGCTTATGACATTGAGAAAACAAGCTATTTCTTATGCATTGCTATTTTTGATGAATATTTGGCTATATAATAGATCATAAGCACACAGAAAAATGTAATCCTGATACGTGAAGATGTCTTAGGAAATGCTACCCTTCTTTCAGTGCCAGCCTCTAATGCTTTTTTATAAATCACAGCCAGATTTCAGCATCTGCTGCAATGGAGTTTTTTTAATCAAAAACTCATTTTATATAAAAAGTCATTACTCACAAGAACTAATTTTAGCAGCTTGCAACTTCCTCTTATTCCAGTTGTAACATTTTCCAGTTTGAAATAGCTTCATTGTTGGGCTCCGTTTCCCACTGGTGACAAGGCAGTTTTGGTATGTGTTCAGTTTAATAGAAAAAAGAGTGAGAGACTTTATCAAATTCCTATCCCATGGGTTTGGACCCACACGGACAAGCTCATGAATGCCAGGTAGCTAAAATTCTGGTCCCTCAGATTCTTGTACATGGCGAATTTTAAGTTAATGGAAGCAAAAAATAGAAAATTGCATTATAAAGTTGAAAAGAATTATGGGTTGCAGCATGTTCTGCTTGAGCCTCTGATTATTTATATTTAACAAATTATTGATAGAGTAACATCGTTACTGTTTTACTATTATTATTTGTTAAGCAACAGTGATCTGTAGAAGGCAGTTTCCTTCCCAAAAACCGTGCCATCCCTGTTGTTGGGTTGTTTTTTACTTTGATGTAGATGTGCATGAAATGATACTAATAACTTTATCTTGAAATGTTCCCAAAGTACAGTACAAAATGTAACAACCTGATATACAGGAAATAATTCCCACTACCACTGAGACAAAGCCCCCTACAGGGAGAATTGTGGCAGGTTTAGTAATACCAAGCATCACTACCCAATACCTTAGGAGAGGAAATGAGCAACGACATCCATCCGACACTGCAGGGGGAATTAATGAAAGCAGAATGTGGTTACCCATGTTGGAATTGGCCAGGATGCCAATTAAACCCTGGGAAAATACAAGCCAAAATCAGCCCTTCAGTAGCTTCATTATTCTTGTTAATGTGCTCAGTGTTCTCCATATTGTTGTGCCCTGGAGAGCTGTACGGTTCAGAGGTGGTAGTGTCAGCCAGAACGAGTGTCTCTGCTCAAAATGAGAAAAATACGTATATTCCAACAATAAGTAACACTTGGACAACTTCCCATACAGGGCATTGCTTCAA